GCATGTCAAAAGTCAGAATGACTTGCTCCTCCATACTAAAGCAGAGGGATTACAAATTCAAGGCTAGCTGGAGAAACTAAAAGACACCCTGTCTGAAAATAAAATAAAATAAAACATAAAAAGGCGGAACATATACAGTAATAGAATGCTGGTCTCAAAAGTGTGAGGCCCTGGGTTCAATCCCCAGTACTGAAAAAAATGGAGTGAGAGAACTTGCTCCCCATACTCCTCCAAAAGATCAAATGATCATGCAAAATTAACTTTCTCGATTATCTAGGAAACATAATCCAAAAGCTACATACGGCTGGTATTTATTTGGGGGCTTGTTTATAGTCTCTTTTACATAAAGTGAATTCTGAGGAAAACCAAATAATACTTGTTGAAATGTGCATGCACTAAAGAGAGCTGTGGAAGAAATTTAAATCTAAGCCTCTTGATGCTCATTCCTTATCCCCAAAGTGAGAAATGCTCTAAGTACAGAAATACTGTATCTGAATATTGGCTTTTCTTTCTCTGTTTTGCATAAAGATAGCATTCCCTGAGTGATAAAATGGTATTTATTAGAGGATGGTCAGTGGAAAGTTGGCAAAGACTAGGAAAAGAAATAATAGAGTTCCTAACGACAGCCCGTTGAGGTTGAGAGGAAATTCAGACGATGCCAAGAAGAACGTTTCAAGTAGTAGGATGAGTGAGAAGGCACGATACAGCAGCTGCATAAGAGTGGGCAAGTGTGAATTAGACAACGGCGTGCTTTCTGCTGCCAATTAAGTGCTTAACATTACGAGAGCTAAAAACTCTTCAAAATGAATAAATGGGTTAAATAGAATGGGGATTACCATTTAAGTAGAGCATTCTAACTTTGCTTCAGATCATGGGAATTCTATAAAATCACAAAGGAGAGAATTAGCTGAACAAAATAGTTTAATTTAATGGGAAATTTATTTCAGAAGAGAAGCTAAGGAAAATTTCTGGAGTTAAGTAATAACATTTAGAATTAGGAGACATTTATGTAAAAGCAATGTCCAAGGATAAAGTTAAGTAATAAGAAATTTCAAAAAGACCTAGAAAAATCTGAGATAGAGTCCTGAGGCATTTTAGAAAGAGGAACAAAGAAAAATGTAAGCTCTTTATAGACAATAATTAGGATAGTGGAATTTGACCTAAATTAAGGCAAAATATTATATATGCCTAAGCATAAGCAAAAGGACACACACTTTACATATACATGCACACCTTTCTACCTTAGGAACTCTCCCAAAGACTGAGAGCAAAGTGTTATTTCTGTTTCATTTCTAGGCTAATTAAAACACATAATATTGTTTATTATCTGTTATCAGTTTATACATATTATGGGCTAAACAGAAAAATTATTAATATTAATTGGGGGTTTCACTTCAACTGCAACATTTATTTTATCACGCCAGAGGAACAGTAATTATTAATACAAGTAAAACTTCCAATTATATACCAGTACTCCATCTGGTTGTCTGAGGCAAAAAGCCAAGGAATTAGCCAGTACTTTCATAAAAAGAAGTTTTATAAACTTGAAAATTTAATCTCCACTCCAAAAATTAAATTACGTGCTGAAGTATTTTCTCAGCATATGAAAGTCTTGTAAACTTTAAAAGGATGAAAAACTCATAAAATAAAAAGAAAACTTTACAATGATAAAATTTCCTCATAAAACATCTTTTGTGCTTCTAATTCTTTACTAATTTTGTTTAATATTTTAACAAATGTAAGTGGCTGAATTGTCTTTTTTTTTATTTAAAATTCATAAGAGAGTCACAATACATATTCCTTGACCAGATTGCGTGTGGCCTATTTATCTGAAATGTCTGATTCCATATGGATTTCTTCTCTTTTATTTATTATTTCTAGAAAAAAAAAATTCTCTAATAGCTTAGCAACTCAGGGGCAACCAATTTGAAAGCTAAGCCCCCGAAGACTCGAGCACCCCAGGTCTGCTGCCTGCAATATCTTCTAATAGGAACACGGAAGACAAAGCACAAACTTCAGTGTGAAGCATGCATCTGGTAGGAGCCACCAGGAGGTGGTCCACCGAGGTCAGGGTTAAAGTTCACAGAATAATTTGGAAATTACTCTCAGCTTGGATCTCGTTTATGAAGCCTAAGAATACACCCTTTAATCAGAATGCAATTTCCAAAGCAGCCACTCCCTTGATTTTCCAGGGCTCAGTTATTCTCTGCAACCAAAAGTAAAAACAGCCTCATCACACTGACAGCTAACAGTCCTCTATAAATTACACCTTAAATGTCCAACAGAAAAGGCAGCAGGAATCCAGGACAACAGAGGCTTGAGCTGCCAGCCTTTAGTAACCACTCTTAAAAAGAAAGAAAAACTCATATTTCACAGTTCTTTTCCTTCACTGCCTGCTTGTGCAGCTGAGCTGTCCCATGGAAGCTTGGAAAAAAGAGTGGGCTGTGTATTTGAGTACGCTCCCACACCCCAGACGCTCTCATTTTTCTGATGCTCCCTCTATCCTGCCAAACACATGCTACAGTGGGAAACTAACATCAGTTCCATGAGAGCCAGCTGTCCGCCTCTTCCATGGTGCTCAGGGAGCCACACAGGACTCCTGGCACAGCAGCCAGGCCAGGCCTGACTCACCAGATGTTCCCCTCCTCCCGATGGAGCGCGAGAGGCCTATTGTTCTTACTGAAGAGTTACTGGGCTTCGGATATGAGCTACAAGTGGAAGCAAGGGGCAAGCACACAACTCCTCTAAACACAGGGTTAAGAGAGTCAGACATTAAAATACAAGAGATGGCCAGAGAGTCAATGGGGAAAGCCAAAGAGGGAAAGTCCTTACTACAAAGAGTCCAGTGTCAGAGAGCTGGAACAGTAGACACTACCATAATAGCTTCAAATGCTATCCAGAATCGAGTTAAGTATGGAGATGATATAAAATGTCCCACTTCTGCAAATTCAGATATGAGTTTTACTTCTGCAGATCCAAGAAAGTTGCCTTTGCCTAGAAGAGTGTGGCTTGGAAAAGAACAGAAATAGGAGTTTTTGAAAATTGTAGTCCGAAGTCAGTCAGACACCGTTTACCAAAGTCTGGAAATGCTTGCTAGCTCCTCTTTCCAGCCGGAGAGGCATTACTGCCTTTTGGCCACTACACCTGTGTACCATCCATCTGTCCATATTCCCAGCATTCCTTGTAGAGGGAGTGATCATATTCCTATCTCTGTATTCTTCCAGAGCCATTGGTAGGAAACTCACTATGTCCCCAGGATCCCATGGCGCAGACTGCATCACTTTCTCAATAACGACACTATTTCTGGCAATATTTTTTATCACTATCCATTTAACCAGTATAGACAGGAGAAAAGAGGGGTGGGGGCTAAATCCATTCTCTTTAAATGACATGAATTCTGTGACTGAATTGAGCTTCACCAAGCAGCACAAATTTATCAAATGAACATAATTCTCCATATCCTTATGCAACAAGTATTTGTACTTTGTTTTTGTCCTAAGAGATTTCACTCATATCATGCTAGTGCAGCCCTTGGTAAAAGAAATCTCTTCAAAATAATAAAAAAAATAAATCCATTAAAGTAAAAAACATGAAATCATATTGAGAGAGAGAGAGTGAATTCATACTTCTCGAAAGGTGGAGTTAAAATTGCCTCACAGACCTCTTAGAGGGCTCATTACTTCTGGTTGCTAGGAAATTATCAATAATTTATGCCAGAATTTCACAAAATCTTAATTTTCACAATAGTAGAATTGATATATAGATAATAAAGGGAAATTATCAGTTTTGAGAAAAGTTGTAAATATGTACTTGAAATCATGTTTGTTTAGTAAGAGCTATATAAATCTTGCTACTCAACAATATGAGTTTAATTTCCTTCCTTTCTACTAGCTTTCCCAAGACAAAAGTGTATCAAAATCAAAATTAGACTAAAATACACTCATTTTTAGAGCTTTTGTTTGAAAACTGGAAATTTCCTTCATTGATGTTTTTACTGTAACTGTGTGATTTCCGCTAAGTTGATTTCTCCCCACCCCTCCTCCCTTTTCCCGGCTTTATTCTGTTTGATTATCTGTTTGGACCAAGCAATAAGTATTCTAGAGAAGAAAGGAATATTACAACTTTCTGAACACTATAAATGTGAAATGTAACACCATAAAAGGTCTACATTATGAAGTTATCTGAACTGATGAATTAAACTTAAGTAAATAAAATACTTGATTTCCAGAAGTGAATTCTTCACTGCCAGCTTTGCAAAACTGAGACTGAGACATAGTAATTTAGTTAACTCAATTAGAAATTTCAAAAGAACTCTATTAATCTTTACACTTACACGTTGGCTATATATAATTCATTATATGGCAAATTAATCTCAAATTCATCTGCGGGGACTTATCTACCAGAACATAGGCCCTAGAGGGTCTCAAGCAGAATCTCACCCAGAATCACCATGCTGAACAGTGCCAAAGCCACGCTATTTAAAGGCACTCTCAGCATAAGCAAAGCACTGATGCTTCCATAATATTCTACAGAGCAATTTCAGAAAGCAGGAGAGCATCAAGGTGAAGGCACACATAAATGCTGATACAACATAATCGATAATAAAAAGGATTTGTTTTTGCTGTAAGAATAGAGATCATAGTTGCATGATTAATACATAACGTGTCTTTCTTTTTTTACAGTTGCACTGTCCACATTTCCTTAGAGTTGTCTGATTCCCACTGAGTTGCTGCTCAGTAAGGAACTAAGACGTTTGGACAAATCTCTCTGAGAATCTAATCCAGCACATGTGAGTCAATTCTTCTTTTCTTAAAGAAGTGATGGCAGCTGACAGAACTATTTATATTCCAGTTTTAGCTCTGCAGTTTAACATACAAATGGAAACACTTTCAAGTAAACTCCTGATTTACAGATGTGTAGAATTGTATGAGCATTGACTGAGAGCATATTATCACAGTATATCCGCCAATCACCCACATCTTCTCTTCAAAAATACTTACTTCTGATGAGTTCACCATCTGAAGGATTCCCCCACAAGGGCTGGTCTTGACTCTCTTCATATGCGAAGTGTGGATTGATAGCGTGAGTTACATCTTTCTCAGTTTGGTCCTTGTTACATTTTTCTGAAAAGAAAAGAATAACATATTCATCATCACTGAATGCTACATGATTTCCCTAGTTTTGTAGGGTGCAGATTTTTCTTCCTGTGTCTTAGTCTATCACAGTTAAAGAAAACAGGAGTAGAAGCGTTTCCTCAGTAGCAGTTATTCAATGAACTCCTACAATGTGCATTGAAGAAACAGAAATGTTCACGGTAAACATAATATACTAAGGTTCTAGTAAATAAGGAATTTTAAAATAGAAAGTGATCTGCCATACTAGAGAAATGTGGAAAGGTTACATAAACATGAAAGTGAGTGAGACTATACAGCTAGGGGGCAGGTATGCCAGGGAAAGCATCAAAGGAGATGAGACTCCAATGAATGGTGGAGATGAAAGTCAGGCTGCAGTTCAATGAGGAGTGACAGAGTAGTACAGAGGTAGAAAGCCAAGTACCAGTTCTCTCTGTAGAAATTTAGGGAAAAAGTCAAAGAATGTATAATACATCCTCAGACAAGAGGGTGTCGAGGATGAGAGATTTATATGGGGGTTTATGAGTTCTCGGGGGAAAGCCAATATGTGAAGTCTTGTTGGGAACGTAAGTCAAACAAAAGCAACCTATAACACCGGGTAAAATGCACACTATGAAAGGCCCAGAGCACTAAAGAGGTTCAAAAGAAGGGGAAAAAACTCATCATGATTCAGAGATCAAGAAAGACACTATAAAAACGGTGCATGTTGGTTGGTCTTTAAAAGATTAGAAGGATTTCAAAAAGCCCAGATGGGAGAAAAGTGGAAGAACAGCATGGAAAAAACTCCAAAGGCAGGCACTTGAGCAAAGGTTCCAACTTTCTGGGCTGTGAAGTACTTTCAGGGGGACATTAGAAGATAGGGCTCTATGGGTTTGGTCCCTTGTATTAAAAAGAAGAAGACTGTAAAGGTTTGATTAGAGAAAGAGTGGACATTTAATTCCAAGATGAAAAATCCAAACCTAATTTTAAAACAAGATAAATATGTGAAAGTATTCACAGCAACTTTATAAAATGCCTAAGCAAAGCCAGGTATTAGGAAGATCAGTAAACTTTTACACAACAATGGTTCTCAGTCTTCACTGCACATTATTTAACTTGGAAAATTTTATTGAAAATAAAAGCAGATTCCTGGGTTGTACCACCAATTCTACTTTAACTGGGGGAGAAGATATTTCATTCAGATGATTTGACTACAATTATATTCTTGAAAATCACTGAATATGGCTTCATCTAAGGAGCACAGAATAAGGGCTTAGCAAAGTTCATGTAGAACTTGATGAGAGCTTAACTGATTAGCAAGATAGAAAAAAACATAAATGTGAGAAACTAGAGGCTTGCACAGATGAGTATAGGGTTGAAAATAAAGTTCTTAGTTTGAAGCTGACTGGCAAAATATGAAAATCAGGAGAATAATTGACTAATTATAAATAAGTGTGTCTGTAACACAATAGATATTTAGGGATTACACAAGGTAATAGGAATACAATAAATTATCAGATACAACCTAAACCTTCCTTCATAGAAATTATAGTTTAATGGATCAGTTTAATACTGGATATTTAAATTTGCAAGCCCAGAAAGAAATAAAAAAAAAAAACAAAACGTACAGCCAGAAACAGTCATCTTCCTAAAGATCAATTGTTGAAGTCTTTTGAATTAATGAGGTCAGTAAAAGAGTGAATATATTAAAAGAACAGTATTGAGAACCATCTGCACAATTGGGAAGGAGTTAGAAAAGTAAGAAAAGCAGGATGATGTCAAGTATGGAAGCAAAAAAAGGAAACAGATTCAAACAGAAGTTGTTAGTCAACGCGTTAACATTTCCAGTGGAAGGAAAATTTTCTGCACATGCAAAAATTTCTCATGTACCATGGGGATTTCACAACAATTGAAAAATTTTGCCATGAAATACACTGCAGCATGTTAAAATAGATGGATGGACATAAATTTAGGAATAAATTCAGAGGCTGAGATCTCTGAAAATGTCTTCAACTCTCTATATGTTTAGAAAGCAAAATCATATACAAACAGCAATAAAATATAAATTAAAAGCATGCTAAACCAACATGTTCTAGATTTATGTAACATTTGCTCAGCATCATCATAGGAAAATGTAATCTTCATGTGATGGTAGTTTCAGTTAAAATCTTTACTTTTTTAACAAGTCCAAAAATCTTCCACTGCTACAGTCAACTCAAGGCCTTTCTGAGATGCTCAGTAAAAAAAGATTTCTAACCAAACTCACCAGCATACATGAACTAGCCTGTCAGCAGGGTCCCACATACTTGCTGCTACTGTTATGTAGCTGCCAGCCGCCAGGTGTCATGCTAGTAGGCTTGATTCAATTAGTAACTTTAATTGAGGCTGAATGAAATTAATTATATAATTTTGAGCTGTTCAAGTTTAATTCCATTAAAATTAATTCATGAAACCAAGGCATTATGAAGCATTGCTGACTAAAAGAAAATAGGTATGAATAAAGCCTCTAGACACACTTGACTCATACTTGAATCATGTCCAATATTCGAGTGCTAAACATAGACCCTCTCGACTCTGCTCTGCATAAATGAAAATGTCATGTGGTCCATCCATATACACACACATTTACCATTACGTAGCCTATTGCTAGCGGAAAAGGAAGATACTTCTGCTCTAAATTTTTATTAAAGTTTAGTTTACCATTAATTTTTTTTCTTAAAAAACACTTCCTTACCTGGTAAGTGGTAGACTTAGATGATCCCTAGTGTCGATCTCAAGTCAAAAATGGAAAAGAAAAAACATTCTGTCTCCTTACACTAACATAATAAAGTATATGTAGTTACTATTACATCTTTAATGGATCAGTTTAATACTGGATATTTAAATTTGCAAGCCCAGAAAGAAATAAAAAAAAAAAACAAAACGTACAGCCAGAAACAGTCATCTTCCTAAAGATCAATTGTTGAAGTCTTTTGAATTAATGAGGTCAGTAAAAGAGTGAATATATTAAAAGAACAGTATTGAGAACCATCTGCACAATTGGGAAGGAGTTAGAAAAGTAAGAAAAGCAGGATGATGTCAAGTATGGAAGCAAAAAAAGGAAACAGATTCAAACAGAAGTTGTTAGTCAACGCGTTAACATTTCCAGTGGAAGGAAAATTTTCTGCACATGCAAAAATTTCTCATGTACCATGGGGATTTCACAACAATTGAAAAATTTTGCCATGAAATACACTGCAGCATGTTAAAATAGATAGATGGACATAAATTTAGGAATAAATTCAGAGGCTGAGATCTCTGAAAATGTCTTCAACTCTCTATATGTTTAGAAAGCAAAATCATATACAAACAGCAATAAAATATAAATTAAAAGCATGCTAAACCAACATGTTCTAGATTTATGTAACATTTGCTCAGCATCATCATAGGAAAATGTAATCTTCATGTGATGGTAGTTTCAGTTAAAATCTTTACTTTTTTAACAAGTCCAAAAATCTTCCACTGCTACAGTCAACTCAAGGCCTTTCTGAGATGCTCAGTAAAAAAAGATTTCTAACCAAACTCACCAGCATACATGAACTAGCCTGTCAGCAGGGTCCCACATACTTGCTGCTACTGTTATGTAGCTGCCAGCCGCCAGGTGTCATGCTAGTAGGCTTGATTCAATTAGTAACTTTAATTGAGGCTGAATGAAATTAATTATATAATTTTGAGCTGTTCAACTTTAATTCCATTAAAATTAATTCATGAAACCAAGGCATTATGAAGCATTGCTGACTAAAAGAAAATAGGTATGAATAAAGCCTCTAGACACACTTGACTCATACTTGAATCATGTCCAATATTCGAGTGCTAAACATAGACCCTCTCGACTCTGCTCTGCATAAATGAAAATGTCATGTGGTCCATCCATATACACACACATTTACCATTACGTAGCCTATTGCTAGCGGAAAAGGAAGATACTTCTGCTCTAAATTTTTATTAAAGTTTAGTTTACCATTAATTTTTTTTCTTAAAAAACACTTCCTTACCTGGTAAGTGGTAGACTTAGATGATCCCTAGTGTCGATCTCAAGTCAAAAATGGAAAAGAAAAAACATTCTGTCTCCTTACACTAACATAATAAAGTATATGTAGCTACTATTACATCACAATCACTAATTACACAATTTTGCCTCTTTTGAAAACTGTCACCATTCATTCTATGGTTTTTGCTGTACCCTATAGCAACTAGCCGAAAACGAGACCCAGAAATGTTCCAACTAAAAATTTAAAGTGACTTTTGCCAATTCTCTACTTTCATAAATTAAAGCATTGTGACCACTTGACTATTTTGTGACTTTATAATAATTCATATTATTTCATCAGTATCATTTTAATACTTGCTCAGTTTGCAGAATATCCATATGGCAGCTTCATATCACTAAATAAATGTGCTGAAGACAGAGTGGAATATAATAAGACAATTGTAAGGCAGGCACCACAGATCCAAGCACAGACTCAACATTATTACAACTTTCAGTGGCTGGATAAATCACTACTCATTATGATGCTAAAATGTCAATTTGTAACAACAGATTTCTATTAACTATGTAGGCTTGTGTGTCACTTTTGAATTGAGACCGAAAGGCACAGTCTTGGTTTATCACACTCATCCTAGATACATGGAGATCGGTCATTGTGATTTAAGGATTATGTGGGCTGGAAGGGCATAGCCTATAGGCAGTCTGGGAATTTCAGTGACGGAGAATATCAGTTTGCACCTTCCCATAAGATTTCTGCCTACCCATGGAATACGTGCATCTCTCTGATACAGCAATTTTCTCTTAGAAAAGGGGCCTCTATAATCTCAAATGTACTGTTCTTCTAAGCCAAATTTCTTACTCTGACGCTGTGTCAGAATCACTTGTAAAGCTCTTTACAAATGCACAGGCCCCAAATTTAGAGGTCCTAGCTCAGCTGGTACTGGTGAGTAGAAGGGCAAGTTAATCATGATAGATGGCCGGGTTT